CCTGCTGTTTCAGTACAATTTGGTGTCATCCTTGAAGCATACTGCCGGGGAAGCGTAGGTCACATGAAAGCGCTTTCCAAGCAGGTATCAGCTTATTTTAATCTTCATGTTCACTTTGTCACATGGTATTTGATAAATTGTGTCATATGCTAGTTCTCCTATCACAGTATTTCATAGAAGTTTCAATAACTGAACCCAGTTAATACATTTTTTAATCAAAATGTAAGCCAAGAAATGAAGTTTCAACAAATTCAGCAGAATATTATTAATTGAATGCTATCTGAAAAATTAGGATTCCTTATAGTATTAACACCATGCCTTAAATTTTAGTAGGAAATACCTATTTAGACATGCTTAACAATGGATTTGATGGTAACAAAGATTATGAAATCTTTAGACGCTGTTTTTCCATACCCCTGAGTTACTCTTTCTAGTTAGTATAGTATTTATGATTCATATGCTCTGCCATTTGTTTTAAACTGAGATATTTTGACACCTAAGTTTGTAGGTGTTACAGCTTCTAGAATTCAGAATCCTCAAGCTGCTTTTTCGAACTATATATACATGCCTGAAATTGTGATGCTCTCCCACATTCCCTCATTTTCTTCCTAGGCCTTCATTTTCTAATCATTTCAGGTGATGAGTTATTAGTGATACTAATAGGTCAGATATTAAATGCTTACTGTATGCCAGGAAGTATACTAAGTGTTTAAAGTATACTATTTTACTCTCCTAATAATGTGCCACAGTACTTACTTTTACTGTCTGGATTTGACAAGGTGAAAAAACAATCTCTCCAAGAGATTAAGTAACTTGCCTAAAAACCCACAACTATTAAGTAAAAGAGTAAGTTTCAGACTTAGCTCTGTCCAACTATAAAACTAAATCTCTTTTTATTATACTGGGAGTTTTCAAACCTTTTTAGCAAAACCTCTCTTTTTTAAATCAAAACTTAAAAATAGACCCATTTTACAAAATAGACAACGTCATTTTATCAGTATAAATGTATCTTTGAAGCTAAAATAAAACATAAGCCATTAAGCCAGAATCATGATGCTGTTTTATTGAACACAGAACTTCATCGGGCGTTATTGTTGACAGTTGTCTCAGTATCCAGTTATTTGTGTATTTTATTTTGGAGATAATCCTGACTTATACCGCTAAGTAATTACAAATAGTAATGGTTTTTAAAGAGCTTTCTTGCAAATGAGAAACATAACCTTGGCCCAAGCTTGATTTGTTGGTGTCTTCTTGGTCTCCTGAAGGATGAGATGAGAGCATTTCTGCCATCAGGTAAAGCAGCCCTGTATTAGCTTCTTCATGCTGGAATCCTTCATTGACAGATAGCAACAATATGCTCTTTTTCTCTAGCAATAGTTTTTCCTAAATTGAGTATTATCTAACATAACACAAGAAGATTTTTAAAATGGTTTAATATATATTTACTCAGAACCTGCTATATGCTAGGGTTTGTGTTGCTGTTGGTGATGTGAAGTCAAATTAGCTATGTTGCTGTCATCAAGGATTTTATATTCCACAGAGTAGGTATACAAATTAGTGATATTATGATGGCAGTGTTACTAATGGGAGTATTATGTATGGTAGCAGAAGAAAGAGGCACATATTCTAGCTTAGGGCATTAGGCAAGAGGTCACAGTGCAGGTGACACTTGTTGTGGGTTTTGATGATCTAGTTAGCTAGTTGGAGAGTGTGGTAGTTAGTGCTCTACAGAGAGACAATTGTGTTTGTGTCTATATAGGCAAAGAGTGAAGGGGGCAGGTGGGTGAGATTGAGATTTATTATAAAGAATTGGCTCATGTGATTATGGACGCCAAGAAGTCCCAAGATCTGCAGTCAAGCAAGCTGGAAATCCAGGAGAGCTGGTGGTGTAGTTCCAGCCTGAGTCTGAAGGCCTGAGAACCTGGAGAGCAAATAGTATACGAGTAACAGTCTGAAAGCAGACAGACTTGACACCCAAGAAGAGCCATTGTTTCAGTTCAAGTCTGAAGGCAGGAAAAGAACAATGTCCCAGCTCAAGGCAGTCAGGCAGGTGGAATTCCTTCTTTCTTGCAGGAGGGTCTGCCTTTTGTTCTATTCAAATGTTTGGATGAGGCCCACCCACATAAGGGAGGGCAATCAGCTATACTCAGTCTACCTATTCAAATGTTAATCTCATCCAGAAACACCTAGAATAATGTTGGTCCAAATATCTGAACACTCCTATGGCCCAGTCAAGTTGATATGTAAAATTAGCCATCACAGGTCAACTTGGCATCCATACGTAGCTCCTTAAACCCTTACTTAATCTCTAAATAAAGCCAATAACAAGGTCAAAATTCCACCTAACGTGATACAACGAGGCTGAGTACCACCAATTACTCATTAACTTCTTTCTCAGAGGAGGAGATAATATCCTTGAGTGGCATTTGTTCTTCTCCTTAATTCCCTGTAAATTAAATAGTATGTTGTAAAATTAATAATACTTAAATATTAAGATTTAAGTAATGATATAAAGTTATGTACCTTATGTTACATGTTAAGGGAATAAGAGTGAGAAGGAAACAAAGATATTTGTTATATATTTGTGTATATATGTGTGCATATACCCATATTCATAACAAAATAAGATATTCATGACAGTCCTCATTTCTGTAACTGATCACGTGGTTATATCTGGTATTTATCACTACCATCTTCTAACCCATCCTGTATTCCCTTTGTCGTCAGCAAGCACCTCAGTTGGTTGTGTTCTTTACATGCTGGGATGACCTAAAGCTTCATTCTTGAAGAGTCTAGGCCATTAGTAGTCCTACCTGGATTGTAATTTGCCATTGATCTTAATCACTGGACATGGTAATACTAAGAGATCACCTATATTCTAGACATACTCTTCCCTAATTTCTGCTTTGCCGTCAGGGTCAATCATTCTAGCCAGCACCGTAATGCACTTCTTTGCCTGTTGATCCAGAAGCATGAGGAGCCCAAAATGGCTGGGCAGGAGTCTTACCATCCAGTTCAATGGAATTGTTGTGTCTCCCAGTAGAATCATTCTTCTCTCTAACTAAGACGTCTGTGCCAACAGAGCATAAGATCTCAGGAAAAGGAGGCAAAAATTTTGTTAGTGGGTCATTAGGGGTAATAGTGAGTGGGTACTACTTCCATTTTCACACCTTCATGGACCTGTGAATCCTGGCTATTGGAGAAACAGCATCATATATTGGATGCTGATTCAGAGCATATACAGCCTTCTACAGAACCTTGCCCCAGCCCTGCAAGGTATTCACATCTAGCCAGCACTGTAATTGTCTTCAAAAGGCCATTCCACTGTTTTATCAAGGTAGCTACTTCTAAATGGTAGGGAACATGGTAAGACTAGTGAATTCTATGAGCACGAGCCCATTGCTATACTTTATTTGCTGTGAAATGAGTTCCTTGATCAGAAGCAATGCTATGTGGAATGCCATGATGGTGGCTAAGGTGTTTTATAAGCCCATGGATGGTAGTTTTGGCAGAAACATTGTAGGCAAATTCATATCCAGAGTGTTTGTTCCAGTAAGAATAAGACACTGCCCTTTCCAGAAGGGAAGCAGTCCCATGTAATCAACCTGTCATTCCATAGCTGGCTGATCACCCCCAGGAAATGGTGCCATATTGGGCGCTCAGTGTTGGTCTCTGGTGCTGGCACATCAGGCATACAGCAGTGGCCATAGCAGGTGGGCTTTGGTGAGTGGAGGTTCATGTTGCTGAGCACATACATAACCTCCATCTCTGCCACTGTTCTCCATTGGATGGTGACCGGGTTGGCTGAGGAAAGGCTGGCTGGTATACATGGAATAGGTCATCCTATCCACTTAATTATAAAAATCTTCCAAGGTTAAACTTTGGTGAGCATACAGTGGGACAAAAATACCTTTTATTTTTTTGCCCATTCAGAGAGGTCTATCACATACCTCTTCCTTAAATTTCCTTGTTACTAGTTTTCCAATCATGTTCCTTCTAAGTCTCTGACCATCAGCTAAGTGTTGGTCACAGCTCGTGAATTGGTATATAATTGCACATATGGCCATTTCTCCTTCCAAGCAAAGTGAACAACCAGGTGCACTTTCCGAAGTTCTTCACACTGGGAGTATTTCCCTTCACCACTGTCCTTCAGGAATTTTCCAGAAGGGGGCTCTAGTACCACAGTTGTCCACTTTTGTATGGTGCCTACATATTGTAATCCAATAATCTGTAAACCATGGTTAAGTCTTCTCTTCCTGTGTCATCTGATCATAAGGAACTCCCCATGAGGCCATGCTGCAGGGTAGGATAGAGAAGGTAGTATAACAGGAGTGAGAAACCACGGACATTTGGGCCACTTCTTCATGTCACTTGTGCCTTCAGGACTCAATTGGGCCCAGTCTCGTATATAACCACTTTCACTTGATGATGGAGTGCCACTGTGCTTGCCCATCTTTATGTGTGGTGGGTCAGATAACACCTGGTTCATGACAGGCAGCTCAGGTTGCATGGTTACTTCATGGCCAGTGGTTAAGCGTTGTCTCTACTAAAACCCAGAAGCAAGCTAAGAGCTATTTCTCAAAAGGAGAATAGTTATCAGTAGGGCATGGTAGATTTTGTTTTTCCCCCAAATCCTAAGGACCTGTGCTGTGATTCACCTATAGGAGCCTGCCAAAGGCTCCAAATAGCATCCCTATATGTCACTGACAGATCTAGCACCATTAGGTCTGCTGGATCATGTGGCCACAACTTGCATGGCAGTTTGGGCCTGCTGCAGAGCATTCTCTTGTTCTGGGCCTCACTCAAAACCGGCACCTTGGGCTTCCCTGGTGGCGCAGTGGTTGAGAGTCTGCCTGCCGATGCAGGGGACACGGGTTCGTGCCCCGGTCCAGGAAGATCCCACAGGCTGGGCCTGTGAGCCATGGCCGCTGAACCTGCGCCTCCGGAGCCTGTGCTCCGCAACGGGAGGGGCCACAACAGTGAGACGCCCACATACCGCAAAAACAAACAAACAAACAAAAAAACAAAAAAACCCAAACTGGCACCTTTTGAGGTGCTGGGTCATTCAGTAAATAGACCAGAGT